ATCAAAAATAAGAAGATTCAATAAATTTTAATTACCTCTTGATATTTTTCTAAAACAGATTTCATTTTTGGAGCATATTTGGAATTAACTAATAATAAAATAAGCAAATAAGAATAATTTATAAAAAAGTGTAAAAATTTAGATTGTTGATAAATTTATTACCTCCAATACTTCCATCACTTTTCAGTTCCATAAAATCCAAGAAACAATTTGTAGAATGTGTATAATGTCTGCTATAAGGTTGTAAACTAAATTGTCTATGCATGAATATTACTGCGTATCCTATTTCAAGAAAGTACGTATTTTGTGATATAATGATAATAGAAAACAAATTTTAACACTTGAAAAACTTAAATCATCGAAATGCAAAAGGATATTCAGCAGAAGTAGCACCACGAGTCCCGGCGCTGAAATTGTCAATAAATCTCACGGTATTATTCTCAAGTGGAACTGTAGTCCCTCCACTCTTACACATTTAAATATGCGTAAAGAAAATTAGTAAAAGGACATTCGATTTTTTCGTAAACTGTCTTTTTAAACCTACCGTAACTAAAACTATCTTTCTACCAGCGTCATAATGTTTATTTACAAATTCTTTAACTCGAGTTTCGTCCTCAATTAACGTTCGCGATGGTGCGTGAGTTTGAAAATACGTATCAGGGTCAATTACCTCTGAAGAGCCATTATCCAGTAAAGGCATTTTTCTTGGTGGTTTCTAAAGACAGTTTGTGGAAAACGCATCGGAACTGTGATCGGCTGGGCCGGAATCATTTCTAGCAATAATCTTCTAGTCGACTTTTTTACTTTTTTAGTCGATTTCTGCTAATATAACTAGTCAATTTAACCCTCGAAAACCCACTTATACTTGTTTGTTATAAATCCTATCTCTAAACCCCCAAAATTCAGCAGATCGGGAGTCGGAATAGGCTGGAATTGATAAATGTCTCCTAGCATTAATAAAATACGTAGCGGTAGCATCATGTATTAAGTAAAGCTGCCCAAATGACCATAGGAAGATATTCATATGATTGGTCAATTTTTGTAGATCGATTTCTGCTATCATGTATGATAACAGTTAAGCGATTTACAAAATTATAAAAGAATTTAAGCAAATACATATTCTTTAAGTTAATAGCGATAGGTTTTCTGCTTTAGTACTTAATTTTAGATCTTTAGCTGCAATGTTTATCTACGTATTTGTTTATTATTTAACATTAAATTTTAGATAAGAATTAAGGTTTTGAATTATAGATCGTGTTTCAAACCACAGACCGTGATTCAAACCACAGACCGTGATTCTAAACCGGTTCATATTATCGATAATAACTTTATTTTTTGTTAAACCAAGGCAGTATGAGCATTTAAATTATAATGTTTTTCCTCTTTCTATTTTAAAATTTTTAAAATAAAGATTTAACAAAGCCAGTATAGTGTTATTGCAAAATGCACTTTTTAATATAATTAATATTATTTTCACTAAAAATTAAAGAAGTTAGCATGATGTTTTTGTAAAGTGCATTTATTAAAATATTTTACAAAAAACAAGGTCAGTATTAATATAATATGTATTTAAAATTATAATGCTTTTTCTCTTCCTATTTCAATAAAAATTCAAAAAGCCAGTATAATAATATACCTTCTAATGCTTTTTTCTCTTCTTTAAAGTTATTTCAGCTACAAATCAAAGAATAAATATGATTTTACAAAATGCATCTTCTTATGCTTTTCAAAATTATTAAAATAAAAATTCAAAAAAAACTAGTTTAGTTTTATTTTAAAGTGTATCTGATAAAGCTTCTTCCTCTAATATAAAATTATTTCAACTACAAATAAAAAAATAAGCATAATGTTCTTGCAAAAAATGTATTAGCTAATGCTTTTCTTCTTTTATTTTATTATTAAACTAAAGATTTTAAAAAGTTAGT